GGAGGACTCGAGTATCGCAGTATAACAAAGTGAGGACACTTCAGTTAGGAAGAATATAGGACTGTGAATCCGTTTGACCTGCTTTGGTTCAAATCACAGTGACCACAGGTGCACCGGCGAGACCACGATGAGACCGTCGCTCTCTCCTCACCGATTTCTCTTTACTTTAGCTTTTTACAACCATCCTCGTCACTGCTCGTAGCACGAGATGGTACCTGGTAGGATAGCACAGGTTTGCTGTGTCTCCCAGCAAAGAGTGTGGAGGAGCTACCAGGAGATGGCTCGCCTGGTGGAGGAGAGCTGCATGGGGCTGTAGGACCAGTATCTGTCAGACCTCATGATGGTCCCGTGCACGCTGATTTCCTCCTGGTGCCTGACCTCACGTGGCCAGAGATCCTCTGTGATGCCATGGACCGGCTCTCATGTTCCTCAGGCATAAATCCCACTGAGACCTTTGGTAGGCGTTGTGTATCGGTGCATCTGACACTGCCTAACAGAGCTACAGACAGGAGCTTATTGATGCCGTCATCCAGGTCTGGGAGGAGAGCTCCCTGGACAAAGTTACAAAAAGTACCTTTAAAAACAAACAATCACTTTATCTCAAAGCTCGGAGTCTTTGGTCAGTCAGCGTCTCGCAGTGTGAACAGGCTCTTGAAGAACCCCGTCCTCCGGCCCACTTTTAATCAGGTGGTGCTCTGTTGTGTCTTCTCGGCTCGCTATCTGTCTGTCTGTCTCTCTCTGTCTGTCAGAAATCCCGCCGCTTTAAGACGAAGCGAGAGGGGACGGACTACGGCAACCGTCCGATCAAACTGGCCGGAAAAGTCATCATCCAGGAGATCTCCTGCCTGCTGCCCGTCCACAAAACTCTGGGAGAGAACTACATGTGAGACACGAGGCTGTAAAACAAACACTCACCCACTCAAGTCACATCACAGCTGATTCACAGAAACTCATTTAAACAGATTTACTGAGCGTAAACGCCAAAATAATCCTCTGGTTCCTCTGAAACAGGAGCATTTGATGCCTTTCAGTTGCATATGAAAGAAAACTGTGTCTCTGACTTATTTCTGTTATTTTATTTATTGAAAAGGTCAGATTAACTAATCAACAATCAATCGAGAACAAGAGAAATGAGCCTTTGCAGGAAGGTTTGGATCGCCCGACTATCACACAGACAGTCAAAGCCAAAGCACAGACTGTATATAAAAGATGGATTTACCCCCCCTCACCAGAAGCCTTCACAACATCGAGATGACGGCTGTGATGTAAAGAAATTCTTCACGTTCGTGTTTCGCGCTGATCGTTACAGGTTTATTTTCTCTCTTCAGCCTGAACATGAACGACATCCAGGAAACGTGTCAGAAGAACGCAGCAGCGGCGCTCGCTGTCGGACGCAGAGACGTGGCGAAGGTTGGTGCTTGCATCCTTTTTATTTTTAACTTGCATTTGAATCAGATTTTGAATGCTTTTGTTGATGCTACGGAAGTAGAAACTATACAAAACATGGAGCCAGGAAGGTTTTAGAGACGAGGTAACAAAATCACAGAACAGGGAAGCAAAGTGAGTTTAGTTAAAACTGAGTTTAGTTTGTGGCTGAAGTGTTCCCCACATAAAGAGAGCAGAAAGTACTGAACCAGAGGTGCTGTCTGCCTCTTCTAAACCCGCCTCTCTGTGCAGGTTTGGGCTCTGGCGTCTGCAGCAACCAATCAGGACCTGAGCCCAGACTCTGACCCGGACATGGAGACTCCTTGGGCCAGACACCCATTCGGACGCCACCTGCTGGAGACTCTGTGAGTTACTGAGAGCAAAGCTGAGGCTCCTGATCGCCACGCCTGTGCCGTGTTGAGCTCTCGGTTTGGGTGACGGAGCAGCTGATTCACATGTTGATTCTCTGTGTTTCAGCCTGGATCACTACAGTCAGATAAGTGACGTTCAGACTCTGGCCATGCTGTGCAGCGTGTTCAAAGCTCAGGCTCCGCCTCCAGACTCTTACGCACTATTTGGACACCATACGTCACGGGCCTCCGTGTTCCCCCCGCACCACGCTCGTTATGTGAGTCAGATTAAAGGCTGCCTATTGACAGAAATGGAAACAGCTGAGCTGCTGTTTAGAAACGAGGGAGCTAAACTGAGTTTAAAAGATGGACGAAGGTACCGTGATGTTTGGGAAATCCTGTTCAGAAGAATTTATTTTAGCTTTAGTTTTGGATGAGAGTTTATTTTTTAAATAAAAACTTTAAGCGCCCACTCGGCTCTTTGACTTCCACACCAGCTGACTCCACAGGGTTTGTTTAGGTCATTACAGTAAAATCAGCTACAGGAAGTGATGTAATGTGTGTGTTTGGCTATCTCAGCCCAGCTACACGTCCAGCTCCGTCACCTCGGGCTCCTGCTCCAGCACCTCTGACTCCATCACCACGACCACCTGGAACCCAGGTGAGGCTCCTCAGCTCCTCACACACGCCGCCTCTGGGAATGTTTGGATTCATCTCCGCCAACACGGTCTCCTGTTTTTGTTTAACTTCCAGGTCGAGACTCTGAGCACGCCAACCCGTGGGGCGAATCCTCTCCCGACGACTACCGCTATGTCAACCAGGGCTACACAGACCCGCGAGAACGCGAGCGAGAGCAGCACGTGATGAACAAGAGGTGACATAGCTCCGCCTCCAGCTGCGCCTAAACATATCTGCCCAGCTGTCAGTCTGATGTCACTTCCTCTCCCTGTGCAGGCTTCTGGACCCGGCCAACACACTGCAGTTTGACGACTTTAAGAAGTGCTACGGTGAAATCTTGTACCGCTGGGGTCTGCGAGACAAGAGAGCCGAAGTGCTCAAGTTCGCCTCCTGCCCACCCGAACCTCACAAAGGCATCGGTGCGTCTTCTGGGGAAGAAGTCGCTGATGTGTTAGAACAATGAAATAACACGCGTGACTAGACTAACTTACACTGCAGCGACCTCACCTGCACCTCTGATTCACTTGTGCACTATCCAGCATGTCTCTGTTATCCAGCTTCAGTTACCCTAACATCATCATTCAAGCTAAGGAGTCACACGAAGAGTAAACCCAGGGTTTATCTAGCTACACACACGAAAGAGGCGGGGTTTGCAGCATCTGACCAATCAGAAACGTGTTCAGGTTTCTTTCTATAAAGGAAAACTGTAATGTTAGAAGAATGTGAAGAGAGTAAACAAAGAATAGAGGCACAGCTAAGTATTTAAAGCTCTGAGGAAGACAAACCTCACACAGGTGAAGACGCTCTGTGTCCACAGGTGTTGCTGACGCTCTTCTTCTGTCGTCTCTCTGCAGAGTTTGGCGTGTACTGCTGTCACTGCCGCAGTCAGGCTCGTGGGACGCAGTGCGCTGTCTGCAAGCGCCTCACCTTCCAGTGCGCCATCTGTCACGTCGCCGTCCGCGGCTCCTCCAACTTCTGCCTGAGCTGCGGCCACGGAGGACACACCAGTCACATGATGGACTGGTTTCGGCGGCAGGACGAGTGTCCGGCCGGCTGCGGCTGCCACTGTCTGCTACAGAGCACCTTCTGACGCGGCGCGGACGCTCCGCGTGATGGGGTCGCCATGTTTAAAACCTCCTCTGTGATCACATGATGGGAGATCAGCAGCTGCTCTGCTGGAGGCGACATCAGTCCGTCCGACACTTCGCTCCAGAGCGAGATCTCAGCATCGAATCCAGTCCAGGAGAGATGGCAAAGATGATTTATTAGCACAAGTGAAAAAACACGGATGCTTTTCTGTCTGTCAAAGCTGGAAAAGTTTGTACGTGGAAAAAAGCGCAAAGAAAACAGACTCATCGAACGCAGATTATGAAACACACGACTCGACTAAAATCGCATTTTTGTGGCAAATCAAGTCACTGACGTGACCTCACCTTTGGTGCTTTGTAACACAGCGGAGTCGCCGCGCTCAGAAGCAAATGATGCGGCGAAGACTCGCAGCAGCTCACTGCAGACGCCGTCGCGGACTCTGACGGATTTCTGTAGAAAATTAAAGACTGAATAGTTTCAAATGTTATAAAGTATGTTTGTGCATGAAATCTGAATCAGTTGTGCTTTTCTCCAGCGTCCAGTTTAAAACAGACGTCGCAATACAAAGGTCACTGTTCACATAACAGCCTGTAGTGTGTGCGTGTAACTAAAGCTCGATGACATCATCAACCACTGCGCTTAACCTTTATCTAAAAAAGCTACAACTTACTGAAATTCAAAGATGCATTTCAGGCGTCACTTCAGCTGAGTTCAACACACCCAGATGTTTGGTGGCTAATCTACGCATCACATCACTTCCACTTTCCCATGCTGTCAGCTGATTGGACCAGACCAGTGATGTCACAATCATCTTTCAGGCCAATCAACCTTTACACGTACTTTAAATCTCAGTGCACATCTGCCATTTCACTTGCAGATGCCTTTGTGCAACCAACTTCCTCCATTCAAGCATCTTCATCTCCACCACCGGCGTCCCTGCACTAATCCCGATCCCCGCCAGGATTCAATGCCATCAGAGACAAATATCTCAAAATGAATTCTGTACTTCAATAAATCATATTCGCTTCCTTCCTTGGACCTCTCTTTATTGATATGCTGTGTAACCACCTACGTGGGTCAGCTGGACACATCCTGGAGAGCTTACACAGGCGGGCAACTTCGAATCACCACACGCATGTCTTTAGACTGGGAAGGACCCACAGACACAGCAGAACATATGAAGTCCATCCAGAAACACCTCAGACTGGATTCATGAGCTTGGCAGCGTGGGTGGAGGTGGAGGTGATGTAAAGCTTATATGAGCCACCAAACACCTGGGAAGCAGACAGATGTGTGACTCCAGACTCAAAGAACTTACACATTTATTTATACAGCAGCATTATCAGAACCAGGATTACAGAGTTTCATACTCGAAATCATTTTAATATCAGATTCGATTTTCAGTTTAAAAACTAGACCTTGCAAAACTTAGTACAACATTTCCTCCTGCACAGGAAGTCATGTAAGCGGTGGCGGCTGCGGTCGGTATCTGGGTGGCGATTTGAGGCGACAGAAGACGCACTGCGTGAGCAGCTCTGAGGTCAGCAGTCTGGACACTGGGAATGGCTTTCCACACTCTTCACACTACAAACACACACAGTGTCGTCATCACAGACCACCAGCAGCTGTGGGGAGTCTAAAACATTTAAATCAGAGAAAAAAGGACACAGGATCCATGAACGACTCAGACCTTGAGGATGTGAATTCCCGCTCCCTCCGCATTCCTCTTCTTCATGACCTCTGGGATTTCTTCCATGTTCTCTATGTCCCACAGCCGAACAGTCCCGTCCTGCAGAGACAGACGCAGTGAAATTGTTGTCGTCTAACAGAGTTTCAAATTCAACCTTCAATATTTAAAAATGATATGTGCCCCCAAAACACCTTCATCTTCATCAGGAAATGAAGCAACAAACTGAGTGGAGAGCATCCTCTGATCCTGACAGAGGGCTGAATTGCACTGAACTTCACAGCCATGAGCTGCAGTCACGAGGCTTCAAATGTGACTCTGTTATATAATTACTGACACTGAAGGAATCACAGCTTGAAGATGGTCCTGGAGTCCAAATGCAGGTGAACGAGAGATCTTTCCATCAGTCCCACATGGTGATGTGACCCTGCAGCTAGTTTTCTTCATTGTGACAGATAGGAAGGAACTTTGACTCCACCCGTCCTGGGCCCCTGATGCTGCTTACACCTGACCAGCTCAGAATACAAAACAAACACACCCTTTGGTGTCTTCACCCACTTCTTGCTCTGACGTCTTTCTGTGAAATGTGCCGGCATCAGAAAGTTTCTGCATGACCTGTGTTGTTCTCAGATGACGCGCTTTGGTCCGTCTCTGCTAAATATCCGCGTGGACGTCAAACTCTGCTCTGATTGGGCTGCCAAAATACATGAAACCTTCAGCACGTTCCAGCTGTTCATCACTATTAGTCAGACCTGTGTGGCGTTATGTTGATTTGCTGCCTTTTCTTAGTACTGATGTTGAGACCATCAGCCTTGGCATCCTGGCTACGTCTGTTTGTCCTGTACCTGGTTACAGGATGTCTTAGGTGAGATGCAGGAGACTAAACACTGTTTGCTTTCCAAATTTCCATAAAATGCTTTTTAACATTTCTCTGGTGAATTATCAGAAAACAGATTAAACATCCAGGGTACCAATGATATTGTAACATCCAGACCCTGCAATAAAACAGAGAAACCCCCCTGTGAACAAGCACTTTGGTGACAGTGGGAAGGAAAAACTACATTTTCACAGGAAGAAACCTCCAGCAGACCCAGGGTCAGAGATGGTGAGCACGGTGAGGGTGAGGGGAGAAAGACAGGACAAAAAAAGAAAGAAAGAAAAGCTCAAGGAGCAAAACTTCTGGCCGGGACTGTGAGGGAAAATACTTGTGAACCTTGGAGGAAGAAGCCACCAACTTCCTGTCAGCACTCACTGACACATCTGTCACCCAATCACTGTGGCCCTGATGGGGGAAAAAAGCAAAATCAGGAGTTAAGTGTCTAAAAGAACACGACCAGAAACATCAGGATGTCTTCACACAGCCGAGTTTAATCACCTTCAGCACGAGAGTCTGAGAGAGAGACGACAAATCCCAGAGAGCAACAGTCCTGTCGTAGGAGGCGGACACCAGGAGGTTCGCTGAGGAAACACAACAGGAAGTGATTTTATTAGGCAAACATTATGAGGAAGAACTGAGCATGTTCCAGTACCTGCAGAAAAACACATCAGCTCATCAGTGAGCAGTGCTTGCTTTCTAAACATAGTAAACAGCATGACGGACGCTAAGGTGCTGACATTTCTTACAAATCTTAAGCTGTGCAACCACCAGAGGTCTAAACCACCTGACCTCTGATCCTTTAGAGGTCTGCTTCTTAATGAGGGCAGAAAACATGCTTACAGCACACGACCAGCTTTGTTCGTTTTCATTATTAGCTAACATCCTAATGCATAAATAATTAAATAGTTAAAAATACACATTAAAAGAACTCTTTTGTCCATACGTGGATCTAGAAAGTGTTCATCGAATCAAACTCCGCCTCTTGCTGGTAGTTCAGCACAAATGTTAGTGGAGAATCTGAGGACGTCAGCTGAGGACACCTGAACAGGAATGTGCCTTGCTCAGAGGTCTCACCGTCAGCAGCGGCGAGGCAGCAGGCACTCACGCTGCCTGCGTGGCCTCCCTGCAGCGGCGTCCCGCCGTGAGATCGGAACCCCCCCGCCTGCAGGTCCCACAGCTTCAGCGTCTTGTCCCACGACGCCGTGCACAGGAAGTGCCCGTTGCTGGTGAAGCAGCAGGCTGAGACGACGTTTCCATGGTTACTGATTGCGAGAATGTAAACAAGAACAAGTGCACAGGGGGCTCCTCTGAGGGCCTGAAAGTTGTCATCAAACTTTTGTGAATCTGATAAATATCTGAGACTTCAGAGTGTTTTGGATGAATAATTTTGTACCGTCTCACACTGAAGACAAAAGCCACACAGCGTGAGAGGAGCTCAGAGCATTTACAGGTCACTGAAATGCTTCACCTGTCGATGGACACGGTGGTTTTCTGCGCCCGCAGGTCCCACAGTTTGATGCTGCGGTCTGCAGAGACGGTGGCCACTCGCTGGCTCTGAGGGTCGAACCGACATCGAGTGATGCAGGAGCGGTGAAGATCTGATCAAAGCAAACACACGCTCACTGACGCTCACAGGAGTGTTATTGCCGACCGGGCAACATGTGACCTGTCCTACCGCTGACGTGGTGCAACATCTGTCCGCTGGCGGCGTCGCAGACGGAAACGCCATTCTGAGGATTTACAGCACAAACGACCAGCCGGCCGTCGGACGAGGAGCTGCAGGAGGTCAGCAGGCCGAGCTGCCTCGATTTCCACTGCGACAAAGATCATAAAAATGAGTCAAACTCAGAAAAGCAAAAAGACCAAATTTATTCCATGTGTGTGAAAGAGCAGAAACACGTGCTCTGAACCCAGCGCAGAGAAATGTGTGCAGCGAATCACAGGAAGGTTGCTGGTTTGAAACTCCAGGAGCGTGACGGCAGACGTTACCAGAGTGAGTCCGGTCTCCAGGTCCCAGGCCACCATCTTCTTATCCCAGGACACTGTGACCATCCTGACACACACAGAGCAAACGTTTCATTCACAGCTGCACTCAGGCTACTACATGGACGTTTCTGCATTGTTGTTTTTTGTGAACTCTGTTTTTTTCATGTTGATGTCATCAGCGTGAGAGATTACATGAAGCCTTACGGGTCCATGGACGATGAATAAGTCATCGATTAATTCACAAAGATGTTTTTGGTTTTTATTTTATTTGAACAACTTTATCATCAGATAAATGTGCAAAAATTGCTACTTTTTGTTTTACAAATCTCAGAAAGTCAACTTTTACAAGTCTACTTGACTTTACAGTCTTGGTAACAGCGACTCTTCACCAGCTGGTGGAGCTTACAGTTCCAGTGACAGTGACGGGGAGCTCACGGGAACTCATTTTTCCAAATATTCAGACATTGCAGTAATCGACTACAAGGCCAGCTGCACAAATAACTGAAAAAATGTTTTAATGTTGACCTGTACACCGCCAACTTCTAACGCTACTTCTGTAAATGTTGGCAGAAGTTCATCTCACCCTTTCTTTTACACCAAATCACTTCTGCCTCACTTGAAAAGACCCGACAGCTCAGCTTTGACCAAGACAAAAGGAATACAGGTGGAAAGATTTTGGCTTCCAGGGCATAATGTTTGCAAAATTCAAAAGAGAAATCATCTGCTCTCAGCTGCAGGATCATAACCTAGCTGAATTTAGAGCTAATGTGGAACCCACCTGTTGCTGTTGGGGATCAGAGCACACTCAGTGATGGCTTTACTGTGAACTCCATCAAACGTCCTCAGAGGCTGACAGCTCCCCACATCCTACACAGGTCAGAGGTCAACCAGGAAGAGTGAATATGGAACAACCTTCTGATGATTTCTTCCTAAACTTTCTGTGGAATGAATTCATCAGAAAACTGATCTACAGAGAGGCTGTTCAGTCAAACACAGATTCTGAGATTCTACAGACTGATGTGGACACACAAAAACACAAATACGAGGCTTTTCTCTCAGGGTTTGCAGAAGAGCATCTCTCAGCACACAACCTTGAAGAAGATGGGTTAAAGCAGCAGACCACACGGGGAGCCACGCCTGTCCGCTAAGAACAAGAAGCTGAAGCTACAGTTTACACATGCTCACCAAAATAAGACGATAAAAAAACTGGAACTGTCTGATCTTCTGGAAAAAAAGAGAGATAAAAAGGGTTTAGTAAAAAAAAAAGCCCCAAAGCCTAAGTAAGGCCCAAAGCCAAGCCAGAAGGTAGCATAGTAGCCAGGCCATAGCCCAGCCGCTTAAGCCTAGCCTCTTAAAGCCTTAATAGCAGCTCAGCTAGGCCAGCAGACATTATTTTTTTTTTTTTTTTTTTTTTTTTTTTTTGTTTCCAGCAGAGAAGTATCAGCTTTCTAGCCACAATTGTGGTCATTGACACAACCTGCGTCTCTGTCTTGTCCCTTGCCCATCCCAGTTCACACACCCCGAACAATGCTGCAAAGGGGGTACATGGGACCTCCCTGCCAATGGCTTTGGTCAGAAAATCAAACAAATGATTCCAAAAGAGCTGTAGTTTTTGGCATTGAAAGAAAAGGTGAGATAAAGTTCCTCGACCACTCGAACACTTAACACAGAGGGCTGAAACGTTCTTATATATTTTTTCCACTTTAGTGGGAGAAAAATGCAACCTATACACAACCTTAAATTGGATCAAACAGTGTCTAGCATTTATAGAACTACAATATATATTCTTAATGCACTCTTGCCAAAGATCATCAGAAACATCCACCCCCAGTTCTTCCTGCCACTGCTCCCTAAAAGTATCAGATGAAGGACTGTATATATCTAGTAAGGCCCTGTAAAGGCGAGACACAGCACCTCTAGTATAGGGCTCAACTGACATGAAGCTGTCAAGCACTGAGTTTCGAGGAATCAAATTGTATTGTGGAATAGATGCTTTGATGAAATGTCTTAACTGTAAAAATCTGAAAAAATGTGAATTAGGAAGATTAAATTTCACCCTCAATTGCTGAAAAGATGGAAAATATCCATCAATGTAAATATCTTTGAGAGAACAAATCCCTCTTCCCTGCCATGTCACAAACGTGATGTCCTCCAGCCCAGGCCTGAAGGCATGATTGTTACATATTGGAGCATCCAAATACATTTTAGGAGCCTTTACTGTGCCCAATAGTTGGTTCCAGACCTTAATTGAATTTTGAATCACAGGATTTCTGCCATATAGTGTATTCTTCACTTTTATCGGGCTATTAAGCAGGGCTGGAAGACAAGTTTGTCTACAAGACAGGTGTTCCATCATCAACCATGAAGGTTGTCCTTCCAAATCAGCACCTGGAGTACACCTTCGCCAAAATGAAAAAATATTTAAGTGTGCAGCCATATAATATAATCTAAAATTTGGGAGTCCAAGGCCACCACAAGTCTTATGTTTAACAAGATGTTTTTTGGAAATTCTAGGAACCTTACCCGACCAAACAAAGGAGGATACAATAGATTCCAGCTTTTTAAAATATGACTGGGGAATGCACACCGGGATTGACTGAAAGATGTACAAAAATCTGGGCAAAACTACCATTTTGATGGCATTAATCCGCCCTACCATGGAAATTGGCAATGTGATCCAAAACTCAATATTCTTCTCCAATTGATTAACTTTTCTATCCCAATTTTGCTTCAAAAGTTGTGACACCTTACGTGTGACTGTGATACCGAGACATTCAAACTTATCTAGCGCTATTCTAAATGGAGATTATGCAGATAAGCCATGTCCACCCCATCCGACAGAGGCATAAGTTCACTTTTCGTCCAATTTATCTTATACCCTGAGAGAGAGCCAAATTCGTTAATAAGCTGCAATAGTGGACTGATCGAGGTCTTAGGTTTTGATATGAATAAGACTACGTCATCAGCATAAGCAGAGAACTTATGAGGAATACCCTGATGTATAATCGGTAGTATATCAGAACTTAGCCGTATACGAGCTGCTAAAGGTTCTAGGGCCAGGGCAAAAATAAAAGGAGAAATGGGATCTCCCTGTCGCGTGCCCCTGTGCAATCGAAAAGGGTTTGATACATCATTATTAGTCCTTACCGAGGCCATAGGTCCTTTGTACAAAATTCTAATCCAATTGATAAAAGAATCACCAAATCCAAATTTGGATAATACAGTAAACATATACGGCCACTCGACCTGATCAAAAGCTTTTTCAGCATCCAAAGCTATTACCACAGAATCATCTGAACACCTAGCAGGACTATATATGAGATTAAATAATCTACGCAAATTAAAATAAATGTAGCGGTTAGGGATAAACCCTGTTTGATCCGGATGGATAAGTTTAACAATATGATCTTTAAGGCGGTTTGATAAAACTTTCGTTAATATCTTGGTCTCAACGGAAAGGAGAGATATAGGCCGATAGGATGAGACAGACATAGGATCACGATCTTTTTTAAGAATCAATGAAATTACACCATGATATAATGAACTTGGCAAAGAGCCAGACAATTTTGAATAGTTAAACATACGCAAAATCAGAGGGGCTAGCAATGAGGAGTAAGCTTTATAAAACTCTGCTCCAAACCATCTGGCCCAGGGGCCTTATTATTTGACATCTGTTGAATAGCTGTCTTAATCTCATCTAATGTGAAGTCCGCCTCCAAATCTGCAACTGCCTCATCATCTAATTTTGGGAGATTACACTTTTCCAGAAAGTCCTCAATTAATGACTGACTCGCAGAACTCTTAGAGCTATAAAGATCACGATAAAAGTCTTCAAAACACTTGTTTATTTCTTGGGGGTTTCTAGTGGTCTGCCCATGTTTGTTATTGATTGATAGTATTGTTTGTGATGCTTGTGTTTTTCTAAGTAATCTTGCAAGTAACCTATGAGGCTTATCACCCAATTCAAAAAATGTTTGCTTACACTTAGTGATTTGAAGGCAAACTTGTTTGCTGAGCAGAGAATTATACTCACACTTCAATTTAGTAATTTTGCCCAGTAATTCTATTTTGGGAGAGGACTGATAAGTTTGTTCTAGCTGCTGTATATTCGACTCAAGATCCTTCAAAGCCATTTCCTGGGATTTACGTTTAGCTGCAGAGAGCGAAATAATGTGGCCTCGAATTACTGCCTTCATACTCTCCCAGAGAATTGCATCGTCAACATCACCTTTATCATTATCATTAATAAAATCTAAAATGTGCTTCTCTAATTTCTTATGAAAGGTCTCATCTTTAAGCAGAGTTGGATCAAAGCGCCAGTTTCTTCTCTCGTAAGTTAGCTAAATCTGCAAAATCCAGATCAATGGACACAGGGCTATGGTCAGAAATTAAAATAGGATGGTAGGTAACATCCCTCATAATTGGAATAAGTTTAGAGTCCAGAAAGATATAATCAATACGGGAGTACGACCCATGAACGGAAGAGAAAAAGGAGTAAGCCCTGCCTGTGGGGTAAAGTAGTCTCCAAGTATCCACCATGTTCATGTTTTTCAACGCACTCTTCACAACATGACTGGATTTAGACTGTTGGGTATGAGCTGATGCACTTTTATCCAAACGGGTGTCCAGTACCAGATTCATATCCCCAGCTATTATAATATTAGAATTATTCACATTTGGCAGCAGCTTAAAAGTCTTTTGAAAAAACTCAGGGCAATCAAAGTTAGGACCGTATACGTTTACAAAAGTGACGGGTAAGGAGTTCAAGAGACCTGTAAGAATTAGGTACCTTCCCCCTGGATCCACAGTAACTGTGCTTTGACAGAAAGGAATATTCTTCCTGAACAAAATTGCAACCCCTCTTGCTTTAGCTCCAAAATTAGCATTGTATGCCTGACCCAACCAATTGGCACGGAGCACAGATTGAACTTTGCGCTTAGCATGCGTCTCCTGTAAAAAAATGATGTCAGGTTGCAATAGTTTAAGGTGTGCAAGAACTTTAGCCCTTTTTACAGGATTACCCAGGCCTTTCACATTCCAACTGACCAACCTTAGTGTAGTCTTATTGAATGTGTTTAATATAAATGTTACTTATCCTAATTTGACTAGCTAACCAGTAGTTATACACTCTGTAATTACCACATTTAAGATTGTACCACCATAGAACAAAAACATCCAAACATAAAACACTAAGAACAGTCCCACTAAAAAGGAGGGGCCTCCCCAATCGAAGCCCTTCTCCACCCAACATATCCAATAGGAACATAGTAGTAGCTACAATCCTACCCCTAACCCATCCCGCAGCCCCACACCAGCAAAGGAAGATTTATAAGACACTTTATAAAAGAAAGAAAAGAAAAAAAAAAGGAAAAATTCAGATAAATTAAAAACAAAAGCCGTATAAACCATATATGTGTGAGCTTTACTAGGCTCCCATACAGCAAATCAAAGAGTAAACAAAGACCCTGAGGGCTTATACTGTCCATATTGTAGGGAGTAGTAACAGCAATAATACTGACCTAAGCTGTATGAGCCCACATCAACACGCCCATAAGAACAGCAAAAATAAGGCTTATGCAGAAAAAACATATACCTGAGGAAGTAAACCGTTGTGTTAAAAAGCCCTACTCATTTGTACCCACGGCCAGTTTCTGGTCCAGGAATCTTTTGGCTGCCTCCGGCTTATCAAAAGTCTGTGTGACCCCGTCCATCGTCACCCGAAATCGAGCCGGATGAATAAAGCCGTAGCGTAGATTGGCCGCCCTGCACCGTTTGCGGATTTCTTCAAACTTCTTGCGCCGTGCCAGCACCTCCGCGGTCAGATCCGGAAAGATGAAAACTTTCGCCCCGTCGTACTGCAGCGGAGC